AGAGAAGAGGAGAAGAAGGAAGGGCTGGTGAGATGGCTCAGTGGTCTAAAGCACCTACTTAGAACAAACTAAGCTTAGCAAGGCACTGGGACCGCGGTTCAATCCCCCAGCACCACAGGCCAGCTGGCCCCGCCCCCCTGGTGGGCTGAGCTGGCCACACACACACTAAATAAATAAATATTTTTTAAAAAAAAAGAAGGAGGAAGAGGAAGAGAAGAGATGGTGGAGGAAACCTGGAAACCCTGTGGTGCTGGCCCAGGCCTGGAGATGCATGTGAGTCACGACTGCGTGCAGACACCACGGGAGATGAGTGTGTGAGCACCTGCGACACCCTCGCAGCAACGAGCACTAACACAGCCCAGGACTTGGCTCCGGCTCAGGGTTCCTGAGGAAGTTCCAATTCTGGGCAGCGACAGGAAGATGAGGTAAGTCAGGTCATGCTCAGAGAATGCCGACTCATGGCTACTGTCAGAGGGCGCAGCACAGCCTGGAAGGCCCATTTGCCAGACTAGGAACAATTCGAATCATACAAAAATAATGATAACAAGAGATTATAGTCCAATGAATTAAACAAGAATAGATGAGTCAGGACCAGGCATGGTGGCACACACCCACAACCCTAGAACTTAAGGAGCTAAGGCAGGTGGGTCTGGGGACCCACATTTGTAATCCCAGCTCTGGAGAGGCTGAGGCAGGAGGGGCACCTTGAGTCTGAGGCCAGCCAGAGCCACACAGTGAGTTCAAAAGCAGCCTGAACTGCATAGTGAGCGCCTGTCTCACAAAACAAAACAATATAAGTCTAAGGGAAGACTGTGCATTCAAAACCAGCCTGATTGACACAGCAAGACTCTATCAAATGAAACACAACTTCGAGGCAGCGCTGGGGCAGCTGAGAACGTGTGCTTGCACAGGACATGGGGCTGCTGGTCTGAGGCTCTGGTGACACAGTGGCAACGGTGTTCGAGGCGCAGGCTACTGTGCTCTCGAGGTTCTCTTTCCCATTCGTCATGGGTAAAGAAGGCCAAAGCGCTACTGGGCAAACATCCCTCCCTTCCTCCACAACCTCCAGCCCTCTGGGGCTGCGTGGCCGCCCAGATGCAAGACTGTCCTGAACTGGGTATGTCTCATGGGCAGAAGATTCAGACTCAGCAGAAAAATACCAAAAAGCAGGCTGGACAGAAGGGCATGATCAAAGGCTGCTACTAAAGCTGCCTTAATGTACAGCTGCACTGTCTGTAGGACACAAACGCCAGACCCTAAGACCTTCATGTAGCACACTGAGAGCAAGTATCCTAAGACCCCACTTTCTCCAAAACTGGCTGATGTGCTGGATTAAAGCACCTGCTTCGGCAGACGTAGGGGCCGGGGATTCAATTCCCGGCCTGCAGTGCCGGACCTGCTCCTGGGGCGCACTGAGCCTGTGACTGAGACTGGGCGTGGTGGTGCGCACCTGTAATGACCGCGCTTGGGAGGCTGAACACAGGCGCATCACTCTGAGTCTGATCTATGTAGTGAGACCCTGCAGACTCTGCAGAAAAAAAACAAAGCTAATATGCAAGCGTGAAATTGTCTACAGGGAAACTCATGGCACCGCTGACTCTTCTCCCGGCTCAGACCTCAGGTAACAAGCCTGTGGCTGCTTGGCTAACAGACCGCTGACCAGCAAAAATAAAGACGCTACAGAAACACTCATTCTTATGCTGTTCCCTTTTGGGCTTCATGCAAAGACAATTCTGTGTAAATGTACAGTTGACTCTGATTTGTAAGTCTGAAAATCAGTCCACCCTTGTTATAATTTTTTTTTTACAATTGTAATTATATCGATGCTCATATTGTGTAAAATAACTCATTTAATAAAGTAGTACTTCGATTTTACAAAAAAAAAAACCCAAACAAACCTCATTCACTAGGAGCCCAACTAAGAAATTAGAGATGTTAGGGGCATTAAGACTCACTTTGTGCTCTTTCTCTTCAACGAGGCGGCTGAGCGGCAGACGCAGACATGCAGATCTTTGTGAAGACCCTGACGGGCAAGACCATCACCCTCGAGGTTGAGCCCAGCGACACCATCGAGAATGTCAAAGCCAAAATCCAAGACACGGAGGGCATCCCCCCCGACCAGCAGCGTCTGATATTTGCCGGCAAACACCTGGAGGATGGGCGGACCCTCTCTGACTACAACATCCAAAGAGAGTCCACCCTGCACCTAGTGCTTCGCCTGCGAGGTGGGATCATCGAGCCATCCCTGCGCCAGCTCGCCCAGAAGTAC